TCCCAGTAGTTCCTCCAAGTGGTGATGTTGTAGAGCACTTGTAATTTGTTTGTTATCGCGGCCCTTTCCCACTTGGCCAGGTTGGAATTGGCCTGGTTGGGAGCGAAGGACTTCACGTGAAACCTCTGGGCTTTTTTCCTGATGATCAGCTGGCGGAGTTCGACCTTGTCCTTCGGGTTGGTTGTGACTGCCGTGTGGATCTCGTAGGTCGGTATGACGAAGGCGCACTTGCTGCACTGCGCCTCCCCGCTGGTGGCCAGGAACGCGTTGAGGTCGTCAGCCATGCGGGGGATCGGGATCATGTCGACGTCCGGAGTGAAGGCGAAGTCGCTGGGACATCCCTCTCTGGCGACGTTCCTCAGGTAGTTCTGCGGGTAGCGCGAGTTGTGGATCATCCGCTGCAGCTCCTCCGACCGCAGTTCTCGCACCAGTTCCTTGTTGACGGTCTCCGGAGCATCGCAGTTGTATTCCCTCACGACGTCCCCCTCGCGGACGTACCTCGGCGGGTGGTTCTTCGGGTACGCCACGTGGAAGCTCACGCGACTCATGCCCTCGGGGTTGCATGTCTTCAGGTACTTGATCATCCTCAGCGCGACGGTGTAGTCCGAGTCGGGAGTGAAGACCGCGACGGAGATCGGGCCCGTCCACATCTCCACCTGTCTACTCAGCCAGAAGAGGAGCTCCACCGACGTCTGGATGGACATGCACACCTTCCAGGACGAAGTGGTGTTCTCCCAGCGATCCCCCGGGATGAAGAACGGGTGGCTCTTGAACAGCCGAGACTTGTCGACGAAGCCGCGACTCGAGTCAAAGGAAACGACGCGGGAGTCGGGGGCTTTCTGGCACCCGATCGCGTCCCTCCGCTCCGTGCCGTTCGCCGGCGGGTCGTCGGTGATGTATTCCAGGATCTGTGGGCGTGGGCGTGCTTGCAGTTATATGGGCAGTGCGTTTGTGATGTATATCGTGTATATAAATTGACAAGTTTTATCTTGTGTCTCAGCTTCTATCTATCTCTCTTTATTTCATGTTTATGCATTCTTCTATTGTTAGTGTTTTTCAGACTATTTGTAACACTATATCTGAATTATCTGCCATCATTTCTCTCTCTCTCTTACTCTTACTTTCTCTGTCTCTCTCCCTGCCTTTCTTACTCTCTCTCTCTCTCTCTCTCTCTCTCTCTCTCTCTCTCTCTCTCTCTCTCTCTCTCCTCTTTCTCCTCTTTCTCCTCTCTCTCTCTCCCCTCCTTCTCCCCTCCCTAGCCCCCCTTCCCTTTCCTCTCCCCTCCCTAGCCCCTTCCCTTTCCTCTCCCCTCCCTTCCTATCCCTCCTCAACCCTCTGAACCTCCACCCCTTCTACCTCTTTTCCCCCTCTTCCCTTTCCTTCCCAACCCATTCCTCTGCCACTCTCACCTCCTTGCCTTTCACCCCTATCCCTCTCCCATTCTCTTACCCTCCCTCCCCTCTCGTCTTCTACCCTCCCTCCATATCTTCACCCCTCCCTCCCTCCCTGCATCCCTGTCCTCCTCTTCCCATCCCCCCCTCTATTCCATCTCCTTCTCTCCCTCTTTCTCTCTCAGCCTCCATTCCCTCTCCCCTTCCCCCCTCATCCTTCACGCTCCTACCCTCTCCCTCCCTCCCTTCCCCTTATCCCTCTCCCTCCCCCTCCCTTCCCTTCCCCCCCAGAATGCCTCACCGACGCCTCGTTGGGTCCCTCATCCTCAGGCAAGACGACGAATCGCTCCCTGACGCCGACGGGGCCAGAGAAGACGGCCATGTTGAGGAAGAGACCGATGGCTGCGTTGGCCAGGACGATGGCCATGTTCAGGACCAGGAATTTCTTCGTCATTACCATCTGTGGATTAAGGTGGAAGGTGGATTAGAGGTGGATCAAGTTCACGGGCGAAGCAAAGTGTTCTGCTGATAAGATGTTTTAGGGCACATCGTCCTCCTCGAAGTGTGTGTGTGTGTGTGTGTGTGTGTGAGAGAGAGAGAGAGAGAGAGAGAGAGAGAGAGAGAGAGAGAGAGAGAGAGAGAGTTCTATATAACGGTTATATCAATTCCTATGACTGTACTAAAAAAATGAAACAAATTGCAAGCGTATGAAAATCATGGCATAGTGATTTATTCGTATAGAGATAAAAGGTTAATGATCATTATAACTTGGCGCTTCGCTTTCTTAAGTGAAGCATCTGATAAAGGGTTTATAAATAATGATAAGTTTGTGTACTGATAAGGATAACGGAGATACGCGTTTCTGTCTTTATCTGTACACTCACAGATGCGGATACAGATGCACATGCAGATGCACACACGCGCTCACAACACATATATATTCATAATCAAAAAGACACGAAAGAAAAAAGATGCATACATAAAACACACACAAACCCTGAAAAATAATAAAAACACGCTGATAAATACCTGCAAAAACACACGCCACATGCCTACAACCATATATAAATATGCAAAATCATAAACAAAATACTGTATGATGGATAGGT